GTATTGGAATTCTTTTAACACACTGCATGAAGGTTCCTGAAGTAGAATCATACTTCATAGAAAAATTAATACTATTTTGATATTAAAAGTACTTATTATTTATTAATAAGAAAACAAAGAGGAAAAATTTAATGAAACATTACATATAAACTTATTAATACAATGAACAATATAGCACTCCAATATGAAGTTACAAGAATAGTTCACTATGGTGTAATCACAATAGATTTCAGTTCTGCTTCAATTTATAAATAAGCAATTATTATATTGGGTATTAACAAATATCCCTGAGCCACTCCTCTGATGATCTGTCAGGTATAACTTGATTTCATGAGGAAAGACTTCCTCACATACCTATTTGTCTCCTTCTCCTAGACATTCCCTAAACATGCAGTTATAATTAATAAAAATTAATTCACTGATCAAATAGCTTATCCCTGATAGGAGTGTTTTTCTATCTTTTTTTTTTATTACAAGTGAAACCTTGTGCTTTTCCACAAATCAAAAATGGATATCTAGAAAATGAAGAGAGATACAGACCCTACTTTCCAGTATCTATAGGCAAGTGGTTCTACTATGGCTGCAATGATGGATTTTTGCCTGCTTCGAGGGGTTACCGGGGCTACATTCGATGCACTGGACAAGGCTGGGAGCCTGCAGTTCTGTGCCTCAGTAAGTCAATGTCCGCATTAAATCATGTTTAATTCTATGGAAGAGTGGAAAGAGATACATAATTACAGTTAAGTCCCTGATGTCAAAAATAAGACCAACAAGAGCTTATGAGCAAAAAAGACTAGCTTCTGTCCTTTATGAGCAGCTCTTCATGAAATGAATATCCGAAGTAAGGACTATGATAACACCTTTATTGTGTGTATATTTTATTTATAAAAGCTAAAGATAAATGCTACTTTTTAAAACATTTGGTATTGGTTTTATTTTTGAATGTGACACATGCTCATTTAACTGTTGTAAAGATAAGTTTTCATTTAGTTTTTTGAATAAATGAATATTTTTATGTTTTTAATTTATCATTTTATGGTTCTTAGGACAATGTGTTATCTATAAAGTGGAGAATGGGGAATCTTCATACTGGCAAAGATCATTCATACAGGACCAGTCTGTAAAAGTCAAGTGTTACCCTGGCTACAGTCTTCCAAATGGTCAAGACACAGTTACATGTACAGAGAACGGCTGGTCACCTCAACTCAAATGCATCCGTGTCAGTAAGTAACCAGCACTAAGATCACAAGATGATCTTGACTCCCCATCCCATCTATATTACCTGTGGCAAAATGCTTCAAGTATGTATAAGTGAATACTGAGGATTCTTGATAAGTATCTAGAAAAGTAAACACATCTAATAGACATTACAACAAAATATTGAGTAAAGTTTTGTTTAGAGTACTATAAACTTTGAAATCACTTTGTTATTTGACTCAAAATAATTATAAAAGTATAGTTTAAAATTAAACAAATATGATAATAGCTGCACACATCATTCATATATTCGCATAGTAATATGACATTTTAAAGTTCTGCTAATTGTCTCTGAATCCTTTGTGATGTGTAATTGAAAAGAAAATTCTGAGATATTGTGTATTGTCTAGTTTTCTTGTTCTTCTCCAATCTCTGTACTAATATATGTTTGTATGGATGATTACTTCATGTTCTATATTCTTGTACATGATTGTGTGATGTCACACTTTATTTTCAAAATAAATATCTATAAAATTTTACAACATAATAGTGCTGATTTGAATTCCTTTCATTATCATTTTGCATTTAAAATATAATTCTAAGTCAACTTGCAGTCAATAATTTTAATTTTTCAAATGCAGATTTTTAATCCATTCATTTGTAATTAGTTTGCTGCGATATTAAGAATTCTAAAAATCAGTCTGAGTCGTATGTATTTTTTGTTTAATACAGATTCCCAACTTCTTTTAAATAACCTTAGTTATATTTGAATGAATTATCTTGAATATTCAGCACAATTTTGAAATAATAATTATGTAATCACATTGAGTCTTCCTATTTATGAATGCAATATTTATTTAAAAGTTTAATCTATTTTTGAATGCCTGTCAACTGCCTTTTATTGTACTATTTTGCTAATGAGAAACTTTTGTTAGGATTTTTTAATTCTGTCCACTATTTGTTTAATCTCTAAGAATTTTTATCTTCAGTGATTCAAAATTTTATGTGATTAATATCAGTGAACTGCTTAAAATTTGTACTGAGTTTTTATTTGATAGCATTTCCAGCATGCTGGTTTTGTCTATATTTTAAATTTTACAAATTCTTTCTAGTGTCTTTGTTAATTGTGTTGATTTCTATGAACACACTGCTTTTTCATATTTCTGTGTCTTGTCTTTTAAAAATCCTATCCAGGAAAAATGCTTTAGGCTTCTTTCTCCAAGTAACTCAAAAAGATCTTAAAACAACTGACAATTTCATGCCCACTTTCAAAGGACTCGTCTGTGAAAAATCATTTCTCTTCAGGAATAGTTCAAATATGCTTAGAGTTCAGGTCAGTGGCATTGACAAATGTGTATGCTTATATGAATACAAACCCATCAAGCTAGAACTAGTCTTAATCTACTGAGGAATTTCTCTTGTTTCCTTCCTCTTCAACTCCACCACCCTAGGTAATAACTTTTATTTTTGTTACTGTAATGTTGTGCTTCTACCACTTCATATCAATAGATTTATGCATCATGTGTTCAGATTTAATTCCATAACTTTTCAGTAGGATATCTATGCCATTCTTCTATATTGTGACTTGTATAGTAACTGAATTTTACTGTGGAGAGATAACTTTACATAGATACATAATAATTTAATTGTCTATACCATTTTCAGAAACATTTTTGGCTATTTTAGATCTTGACAATTTTGAGCTGTTTATGAAAATTTGAAGATAAGATGTATTTCTTAGATAAACATCTAAAACTGAAATTTATGAGTACTGTAGCTTGTGCATGATTTGGTCTGTAAAAATCTGGCATGTGGATTTTCAGGACGTTTGGCACATTTTGCATCCATAACAGCAATGAACAAGCTTCAGTCAACTTGCTTTCCTCTAAATATCAGGAGAGTGAGATTTTATATTCTAAATATATCAGCATAGGAATATGTTATTGTACTTTAATTTTATCTTCCTAGTTGGCTTATAATACTAATCACCTAAGAATATCCCATTTAATTGCATGTTTTCTTTTATACCCTATTTTATACCCCTTACCAATCTAGGATATGATTCCTTTATCAAACTTCTGAATATTTTCTTGTATGGCATGGCTTGTCTTACGAGTTTCTAGCAGTTATTTCTAGTAACTGTATTTTAACACTCAATGAGGCCTACATAAGTATTTGTGAATTATTTTTGCTTATGTAGCACATTTAAAAACAATTTTAATATTTTGAGAATTTCGTTTTTATAGTTCTTTGAAAATTTCATATGATATGTTTTATTATATTCACCTATCCCCAACTATTCTCTGGTATGCGTTCCTTATATTACCCACCCAACTTTGTGTCCTCTGTTCTAGTTCTTCTCTTCTTCTCCACATTTTGACCTGTTGTGGATTTCTGAATTAATCTCCATTGGCTGCAAAAAAAGAAGCTTCTTTGATGATGAGTGGGACTGAGAGAGCTGGGGACCCAGACCAGGGCTATGACAGGTTTCTGCCAGAGACCAGGCCTTAGTTTCGGTTTACTGCAGCTGAGCAAGCAGTTGTATGGAAAACCACAAGAG